ATTTACCTATCACCTCTTTCGTTCAAATTCAAATTATTAAACTGCTTTGTCTGTTTTTCAAAAGTGCGGGTACTAAAAATGCGCAATCATTTAATTATTCAGCTCCAAATTGAGAAGCTGCATACCATCCAGCTAATATATCGAATGAATACCTAAGACAAGGGGGTTTTGAATCTAGTTTTTCGAGCAGCGCAATCATTATCGCGTGTGGTATCCAAATCTCGATACGCGCACAGAGATGTTTTGTTGGCTAGCTTTATATAGAGTAAATTAATGTGGGCTAAGGCACTCGGTAGTATCTAGCTATTGGTAGCGCTGGCGGGTAGACTGGCTACTGATAAGGTGGCAATTGATCTGCTTGCCGCGCGTGGCAACTGACTTGTAAACGTTTCGTCACGATGTTTAAAAGACATCGTCAGTGAGTGCATATGGGTTGGTAGTTGGTTTGCTCTTTCAATTTACTGCTATCCTTGCACGTTTTCCGTGTATCATTGTCTGATGTACGTCTGAATGCTGTTTGTTAGGACTGAAATAGTATGGTACAGTACACTGCGTAGGTCAGGTGGCATCCGAATGATGGCAAAGTAAGACACTTGAGAGAGCTTCTCATCATCCCGATGTCATATTAAACATTTGTTGAGACCATTCGTCCGGTTTTACACTACAGAAGTAAATTGGGACTGTTGAAGACTGCAGTCATCGGAATGTGACCTGCACGACTTAGGTACATGGCTAGACTCTTTTAAACGAAATTAATTTCAACGTGACTCCCAAAGGGATTTGTTTCCATCCATTCTGGGTCTATTATCTTGGGGATACAAACTGCTCCACCTCAACATGATGGTCTCTATGAGAGACTGTTGTACTCTGAATGTCAAAGATGTGGTTATCCACAAACAGTACACTCATGTTTCAAACATCGAGATATGTTTCCCGGATGATTATGGTGAAACGAAGTACAGCTTAAGCTTTTCCTGTTATTCCGAACAGGTCTACTTGACTCGTTATGTTCACATCGTCCTGCCCTTAATTCGGGTTACGAATAGTCAGCAATCTCGTTGATTGGTAACAAACCTCTAGAGGGAAAATCCTGGTCACGAGGAGATCCTGAGTTCGTTCTTCCCTTGTGGCTGGCTATTGCACCGGTTTCCAGACGGTTTGTCAAAGTATGATATATCTGTGATGATGGTTATCGGCAGTGCGGTTGGAATAGTATTGTGCCTCCATGATGCCAAGCAAGGCGGTCTTAGTCAGTGAGGGCAGAAGGCCTTTGACGGTTGAGTGGTTTCAGACTGGGCTCTTACAAAATTTCAGATAGGAATTCCATGACCAGATGTTGCGAAATATGATCGCTGGTTTTAATGTTGGTAGTGTTGGTTACCATTCAGATTGCCTGAGCAGTGTTTGTAGTAAGCCAACAATAGGTCTTTTATTCTCCGCGTTCTTCTCCGTAATTAGGTATTATTTAAGTAAACTGACCCAGCAGGATAGGTGAGTACTATTGCTGCCACGCTGATGTCACTGTTTTTGGTGAGGAGAGGCTGGCTCCTGTTTCGATCTGGCCGCATATTCTGGCCCTTTTTCGCTTATTCTAGGGGTGCAGACAAGCCGATGGTGATGTTTTCTCTAACAATGCTAATTAGGTGATTTCTTCATACATCTTTTTCAAAAACAATCCGCCAGTAGAAAGTAAACGAAGCCAAAAGCTTCAATCAGACAACCAGCGTTAAAAATTGATTTGCCGACGTTCCATCAAGTCAGTGAAGCAATGAGTGTCAAAGCGTTCATGGAACCCAAGTAGTTCTCTGAAACCATTGTTTGCCTGTATGAGTAAAACTATAAACATCAAACATTATTTCGTTGAGTGACTATGCGCTGGTTTGTCACGAGTGGCATAATGTGCGTTTACAGTGGTTTCGAAATGCTTCTCTCTGGGAAAGACCTCTGTTTGGGGAAGGGAATGATGGGGGTAATAAAGTATTCATAGTCGCCATATTACTCTAGTGATTTGGAACCTAGTAGGCAAAGTCCATGTTCAAAATTTAAGTTTGAAAATGAGCATCCCATATTAACACACTGTATGGGTGCTAGCCGACAGGCATACCAACTAATAAGTGAGGAGAACGAGGGCGAAGTACACACATACACAAACTAGTTTTCTTGTAATAGGAGACTCAAATGAATCTCAGCTACATCTCTCGTTTGAGGTATCTTCAGCTGAATGTATTGCATGTCTCATGCTTCAGTTCGAACGATCTTCGAGATACGGCGATATGAGTGGTGTGTTTCAGGTGACCAGGATGCAGCCATGTAAGCAAACGAGTCAAGAGACAAAGCGAGTGCGTCCACCGGGCTTTCGAACATGCACGACAGCGACAGTCACCAGAATAGAAAGGGGAAACATCCACTCCTGTGGCATTAAGCAAGAATACGAGTCAGGGCTTTCTCGCTTCTCACCTTGCATCATAGAAAACAAAATGAAGCCCCAAGCAAAACATGCTCGACCGGTGAACATAGAGGTGCCTCAGTATTTGTACAACATATACCGACAAATGCAGCAACCTGAGCAGAAAGGCATAGGACTATGGAGTTTTCATGCTTTTTTATGTAGTGCAAGGCTACGTGTGATTCTTCGTAAATTGATACTAAACTTCCGTATTATACAATTTACAGTCTGCCGACGGGAGGATCACATAGCTTGCCTCCAACAACTATATTCCTTTGTATAACTTGAATTACTGATTCAGAGCGTTTAAATAGTTTGCATTTTCGTAAATGATGGTTTTCCTTTAAATTTGCGATCGAATTCGATCGAAATGGTATTAGGCAAACGAACTTTCTTTGTCTCTTTTCACGAAAGATCATCTTGATGTGTTTGTGGGACGTTTTGGTCATACTCATCCTATGAACAAACAGGACTTCTGGACTTTCCACCTCTAACTTAGAAGTGGATCGATAGTAAATCAGGATGTCCTGAGAAGTGCCGCGAGAGCCTGTGACCAGGTAGCAACTGTGATCTTGTGTTTAAAATCAAGCAGTTACTTGATCTTGGTACCACACAAGTAGGCATGATGCACTAATCGGAAGTGCTGCAACCTGTTCTGTTGTAATATGGGCAAAATTGTACGAATGACTCAGCCCGAAAATTTCCTGGTTTTGCTACCTCAAACATTTGTAATAGTGCTTTCTTGCTTTCGTACAGTGGACGCGGTTGGCATCCCTACTCTGTATGCACAATTGCCCATGCGTGTCCATTCAGCCGATCGATAATTCGGGTGGATTCAATGAACCAATGCTGGTCACGTGACTGTCTCACTGACTTGAATGTCTGCTGGTTTCACGTGACATCAAAGATTTGGAGAGGCTTGTCGACAGTAAAATTATCCGTAAGCTCGCATCCCTTGTGCCGATCGGACATTTTTGATAACAACCGCTTGTAGTTATCGCAGAAAATGACTATCCTGGCAAGAAAAGGTTTGTTTACGCAGGTTGCCTGGCATGTCCGCCAAACTCACGTGCTTCATGAAATTTGAAATGACACCAGTGATAACATTACTTCAGATGAAAGTAAATCCAAATTTTGGATATGGAACAAAGTGAGTTTTGAACCAGCCTTTGTAACGCACAAGATAAGCGAGCGATTCAAGTGCACCCCAGAATAATCGTTTTTCCATTCGTACTATTTTCCAAAAACCTGCTGAGTCGTGAGTTTCATTATTAACAGCAACATCAGATGAGAACATCGGTGCTTCATAGCTATCAAACTACGTCCGTACATTTCAATAAATACTCATAACTGAAAGAAGTCGTTAATGAAAATAATTGACACGGCAGTGAAGCACTGGTGTTGCCGTCAAGGTGATAATGGTCAACCAGTCGTTGACGTTGACTATCTGACTCGAATATTTGTTTAGTAGTAAATAAAGTTCGGTCTGCTGGCTCCCAAAACTAACCAGTCGCATGAAGTTTATCGTAGTGCTACTTACCACTTATTATTATCGCATCACTCCCCCCGAGAATGACTACCTTTTACGATTGGCACACATTTATCAGTTCAAAATTTAAGCTGTCTTCCGTGCTATAATGTGGTTCTTGAACAGAAGAATTAAGAGTCTGGGAGGATTCTTAGTCTTTCAGGCGATAACCACGCTAGTATGCAGCTTACTTATTGAAAGGAAATTTTAAGTCAATGCATTCGTCAAGTAATCAGGAAAATGCAGGAAGTTTCAAAGGCAAATGGAATAAAATCTTCTTTTTGCAGTATTTCAGGCAAGTCAACTAGTGGAGCTTCATGCTAGTTTCACACAGACTTGAGGTGGAAAGAATCCAATAAAGTGCTCCGTGCCACACCATAAGTGTGTGCGTATATTGGTCCGTCAACAGGGTATCAAATTTCCATAACGAATTGACGTAGAGCTGTAACGTTATGCGAAATGTAACTTTATATCTTTTGTGACAATTACAGTAGGTCTATTTACTTTGACGAGGCAAGTTAGACTGGAGAGTGCGACTGGTGACTGACGAGTTAACTGATGAAGGGAGTTCACGTTCCGTCGCGAAAAACAGAGTCAAGAAATTCCGGCATCCAGAACTGCCAAATTTATCGCAGCAAGGTTTGCTTGCCTTTAGACATGAACATTGTTTAGAAGTGAGTTTCACTCAATCATATCGGGGAATGTTGCAAATATTGAGAATCATTGGTTCTCGAATGAGGTGAAAACCTTACAGGGCTACGTAGAAGTTATATAAATAAAAACCAGAAACGTTCGAGAACGGTATTCACCAATTATTTTAATAATTAGCTGTGGATTTGGACATGTTTTACATCTTTTGCAGCGCTTACCTGTCAGATTTTCGAAACAATGCTCACACACATTTACCCTTTTCGGAATTATTTAGAAAAGAGCTAATGAATCCACTGGACTGGTTGTGTTCTGGACACTTCACAAAAGACGTATTTCTGATGCTTGGCAATGAGTGAATAACGCTAAAAAGATTACCATTTTGTTTACACTTACATTTATTGCTTCATTATCCTCGGTCTTTTTGGACGATTGGGTGACAAATTGTGGGGGCCTCTTGAGTCTAAATCGTTCGTTCTGATGCCCGTAGAGCAGTTCATTGTAATTATCTTGTCCTGATGATACTTCTGAACACAGCAATCCGGCTTGGGCTGTAATGATCATATCAAGTCCTTCAAAGCACAAGCGTGAGCCTCTGGTTTGCTGAAAGACCTTTTGAAGCTGCGACTCTGTTTGTGTAGCTCCACGTCGTTCTGCCAGTCGTGCTCTCATCAGTTCGTATTTCCACAGGGGCATTACGTTTTTCAGCTGATGATGCTTGTGCAAGCGGTGGATATTTACCATCGGATCCTGGTAAAAATATGTACTTTCTGGCACAGCCAGAAGACACATACGCCCGGTTATATTGGATTTTTCCTTCAAGTACACCATTTTGTCTTCGGTTTGCACAGCCACGGTACCCTTCAGCTCAACTCGGTTAAGAGAAGTTTGCACCATGTCAAAATGGAACTGAAGCAGATCGAACCCACATCGGCAAACAAGAATACCCTTGTTTTTAAGTGAATCCGTAGTGGGCATTCCAAGTTGCGTCAACTGTGCTGCAATATCTTCCGAGACAGGGAGTTTCATACTTGAAATAGGAAATGCGGGTGTTCTAACTCTGAATAAAATATCTCTGTAAACCAAGTACACATTACCAGTTCCGTTTCCGCGTCCAACCGCACTACCAACTCGTTTTCGGCTAGTTGTCATATCATCCGTATAGACTCTCAAAGGTGGTAGAACAGGCCTGTTTGCTTTGTGTGGATTTTCATCTGTACTTAAAGCATATCTCTGTCGTAGCACATGCACGCCCGTGCCTATGCTCTTAGAAGGGTCTCGGTATTCATAGTGCGCCGGTTGAATTTTTTTGTCTGTCTCACCCGCGGCTTCTTGACGTTTGTCAATGAAGAGTGGCTGAAGGCGACAGTTTTCTGCGCAAAATTGCAACTGATACATTATACCCGGACCTTTCGTGACACACACGGTACTTTTGGGGGCAGTCATAGTTTCCGAGTGGGTAACATCTGATCGAGACTTTTTCTGTCGCTTAGATTTTGGACAGGCCTTTTCCGGTTTTGGAGGATCAAAGGTGTACTTATCATATCTGCTGGGAGCATTCAGTTGACTTCCTTGTGGAGTATTTCCTCTTGCTTTGCCAGAATTAGAACTTTCAATATTAAAATTTGCTGAAACATCGAACCGTTCGCCTTCCTCACTGTCATCGTCTGCACTGCCTGTAATTTCTTTAGCACTTGCGTTCGTACCTGGGCCTGGTGATTTGAACGGCTTAGATATAAATGACCGCCTGTTATCCTTGAGATTTGGCGTCGACAAGAAGTATGATTCGAGAGGCGTTGTAGAGTCTTCCCCATACCCTTTGATGACATCTTCTGAATTCTGCTTTATTTTCGATTGGTCTGCGTTTAGTGCTCTTGAGTAGAGTGTTGTCTCAAGTTCAGAAGATGTGGGAGAATTGGTGTATGATGTCCTTTCAAGGAGGCCCGCCAATGTACAAACTTGATCATGAGGTATATCAATTTCTGGGAGAATGAATCCATCAGCTGTATCATTCCAGTCAATATCCTCAACATGTGTATTGTGCGATTCCTTGTCAGTACCCGATTCGGTTATTCGAGGATCGAGTGCAGTATCCATATATTTAGCACAAACAGATGGAGTGGGACAGTTTACGTAAGCTGCCCGGAACACGCAAACATCGGGTTCAAACCAAAGGCCGATCAATAAATCTTTACCACTGAGAACGGCTAGAAATCAGCTGATTGCTTGCGTGCTCCGCAAAAGCATCCAGTCACCTAATTTTTCATGGATGGATCAACTGTGGAAGTTGGCAGTACATTAGAACTGTTAGACCGCGACAAACTGGCACCATGGACAAGCTGTTGATTTTAAGTCATTCCGTCAGAGACACGATAGTCAGCTCGTGGTCCACAAAGTCAGCTACTTGAGTCACAACCAACGACTTTGTCATAAAACCAATGTTTTCCTTTTGAGCTCTTTGTTGCCACTGCACTTATTGTGCCGTATATATTTCACAACCTCGGGAACTGGTGATCCAGGTTGGCACACCTAAACAAACTTGCTACCAACCAGCGACGTACAGGTAAGTTTTTCACCAGATGGAAAATAACATATGTCGTGGGCAAGTTCGGTGACTTTATACGCTGTTAAATTGACCGTGACACCTGCTAAACGAAGCTGAGTTAAAACTAAAATTTTCAAGGTTGAGATTAATTGTTACGCACATGTCTAAGATGTATACCAGGTCACCCATCGAAGCTTCCCGATTTGAAGTCAATATATCATTCAGTAAATTACTTACTAGTTGTATCTGTTTGCAGAGAGATATTTTTATAAACCGCAACACAATGATCTAGTTGTGCAGTAAATATAGACCTAATTAAACATCATGTTCACCAAAATATAAGTCCGCTGTGTTGTATTTGCTTCTGTGTAGTGATTCTGGCAGTTAATTCCGGAAGTAGGTTTGGATTGCTACGAATTTGAATTGCAGTAGCTTACATCGTTGACGGACAAGTCTTAGGATGGTAGCAAGAATTATGGTGGCAGAGCGTTCGAGGGGGTGGGATATGCATCTAAAACAGTGGGCTAGATGAGTGCGCACCACAGAAGGGTGTGACTGCTGTGTCTTGTATGGTCTTTAACCTTTGATTAGCCCAATCACTGGGTCACCGTCCAAAGGAAGAGCAAGAATCAGTGCATTTGTGCTTGCCTTTACTGGCTTTTATACTTCGTTGCCAAGCCACTGCTCAACCTCCTCTGATTCGTTCGCCCCACTGGCGTATGAAATGTATACGCAATCCCTCGCAGCTGAAAATTGCTGTCAATGCATCTATCTTGCGTGAGCTATTTTCCCAAGACTGACAAATGGATACTTAATAGTGACTCGACTGCCATTGAATGTAACGAGGAAGGCGCACTCTGTGTTTCTTCAAATGTTTGACGTGACATTCTAGTTTATGCTCCATTCATTTTCAGTAATCAGGACCGAAATAACTTGTGAACACAGAGCCGTCATTTGATGTTGTCCCAAGGATTTTCATTTATGTTACGTTAACTACGCTATATCCAATTTAGTTTTCAGGGAAAGGGCTGAAATTGGGTAAGCAGATGGATTTTTTGTTTTTGGGATGGAGCGTGTAGGTGGAGGAGGTGTAGCTATTTGAAACCGGCTGATGAACGCCTCCAATATTCTACCTGAGGTGTCAGATTTCTGGATGTCTCATCAGTGGGAGTTATCTTTTGAATGCAAGAACTTGGCATGACTAGAAAGCGCCAAAGTGTACTAGTTTCTTAGACCAGCCATACCAGTCTTAACTCAAATGTCCGTATCATGCTCAATTAACTTGCCACCGATATTCTGGAGGAGTCGTTCCAAACGAGCAGTATGGTCAAATAATGACTAACTGGTCTACCTGATGAACAAAACCATCTGGAGTTCAGGTGATTTCGTTCCATTTTCTTATGACTCTTTGACTGGATTTTTTATCCCAAGGATGATAACATCATCGACAACAGGGTTAATGGAATGTCGCCAGGTTACCCATTACTACGGTGAAGGTGTGCTGATGGGAACCTCCCAGCGACGTTTGCATCCTGCTATTCTGGAGCAGGGTCGGTTTCACTCTAAAACTTAACAGATGATCTTGATACCTGGATGGTAAACAGTCAACCGATGATAATCGTTATGCCCTCATGTTTAGACTGGCTAAATGCTTGCGGTAAGCTTCTGCACGTACGCCAATCCTATTCCCATGGATCTACACAGGTATCAGCAGCTTTCACGCAACACCAGACTCGGCTTAGCGCAAACAGTCTGTGGATTTTAACTACAGGGTGTTTCATAATTAACACAAAAAATAATTAGCAAGTATACACTCATTTGCAAACTAATTTGGTTTTTTCGAGAGACTCGCCTGGAGCCAAGCTGGATCTCTCGGTGATGTTCTCAGGCAACTGAATGTGCTGCATTAGGCCGCCTCATGTTTCAGTCGCTACGATATTCGAGATATCGAGATACACGTATATCTTTGTAATGCACTACTCATAAGGTTGCTGAAAATTCGTGGACATCCCACGACCGGTTTCGCCCTTTTTGGGGCTCATCAGGTAGGCGCAGTCCCCGAGTTTCCGTTTCAAGTAGAACATCAGGTTGACGGAAGCTGATACATCTGAGTTGTTGAGGAAGATGCTATAGTGCTCTGGGTCTGAAGTTGCTCGACGGCGTTCTGTACAATGGCAGATCTTTCATCATTCAGAGACTTTCTCCCTTTGCCAGGAAAATCCACCACAGTTCCAGTGGACTCAAATTTTGCAATCAACCGTGTAAGGTGAAAGGATCTTTGATGAGACCATGTTTGGTTTTGTAACCACGAAGTGCAGCGGTGGCGCTTTCACCAAGGAAATAATAGAATTTCACAATTTCAGTGCGCGTACTGACAATCATCGTAGACAAAAAAGTTATTAGTTTTACACAAAATCTCCTTTATGTGGCTACCAGTAGTAACAATTTGTCATCCTTTCTTTAAATGGCTACGTTTACTCACCCAATCAAATTTTGCGACGGAAGAAGGAATGCTTGTGTGACTCAAAGCATCCTTTCCGAATCCCAAAGGAAACGTGTTTTCTGGATGTGTAATTCTCTCATGCCAAACCTGAAGGAGGGTCTAAACAACGACACGCAACATGTTGAGTTATCAACCATGTCATATCACTCGCTAGCCAGTGAGCTTAGAGAATTGACCAAGTCTTATAACTTACTTATGCGGTTACATCCGAGTGACATCCAAGCTTATTATGAGCTGGAGATGGAACCATTTGGACTCTCTACACTATCCTTGGGGAAAGGAACATAAAGCTACGTGCACACGAACGCAACGAGTCAGCGTTCCCCTCTGTCCCACCAAAATATACTGTTGACGTCAAATCAATCAGTGCTGAAATCGAAAATGTCGAATACTTCGACATCGATCTGAGCGAAAGAAAACAATATGCACGTAGCTGCGTCCGATTTGGAGCGCAGCTGCTTGCAGATGAATGGATGAGAAAAAATTCGAATAATTTGGGTCGTCATGCATCAAGAGTCCATGACAGTATGGATATACAAGAAATCAGTTGGAAAGTATATAGTATTGTGAACATTTATGCTTTCCCATACCATTTACGAAAACCTAAGTAGTTTCGCAGTGGTGGCCATGATGGAGCAGAAGAGAGGTAGGTTCACAAACGATACTCTCAGTTCTTGTGAAATATATATATATATATATATATATATATATATATATATATATATATAAAAT